TGGGGTCTGGCATGCTCTGGGTCCTGGCCCGGGCAGCATGGGGGGTGGTGGTCTGGGTGAGAAGGGTGACAGTTCTCGAGTAACCCCCTCTGCTGTTAGTGGCCACATCTGGGCTTGGGACGTGGCTGGAAGTTTCCAGGCTCCCCACCAGCTCCTTCCATTAATCTCCATGACCCGGCAGGGCACGTTTTTCCCTTGATGTCTTGGACATGGAAATGGCCCCCAAGTGTCAGCCCCCAAGCCACGACACAGGTAGTGCTCCATTGCTGCATTACCACATGGTCCCCAGTTCTAGTCCTGCGCCCAGTGATCCAGTTGACATCTAAGGGGTGGCCCCACAGGTGGCATGGTTGGGCCTACTGGTTTGAGCCCTGGGTCGGGCTCATTTGTCTGAGCGCATGAACCCTGTAGGAAATTAAAGAAATGGGCCCTAGGGGTCAGTGGGTGGTTAAGGGTGCTGGAGTCCTGGAACTGGGGGCTTTTTTTTTTTTTTTTTTGGGGGGGGGAGGTTTTTGCTATAGGGTGTGTGTGCTCTCCAGGCAGAGAGAGAGAGACATTGAGACAGCGAGAAATCGCCCCCGGGGGGGTGGTCACGCCGCCATCCCTTTTCCTCCATTCTCGTTCTTGGGTGTGCACGCGCACACGTGACTGGCGTTTGAAGCCACTGGGTCCAGGATGCGACCCGCGGTCCACTACGTGGGAGTCCAGTGACTTAGCCATTACACTAACTGCTGGTCCTGTGGCTTGCTTTCTCACTTGCCCTCCCTTGGTCTGTCTCTGGTCAAATTAAAGTTAATTAAAATAAATTTTTTAATAAAATAAAACTTTTTCGGCCTTGTTTTCTAAATTGGTGAAAGTGGACAGTGAGAAACAAACTGTCAGACCCGGGACTTGAACCGTAGTCGGCCACGTGGGAGTCCAGCGTCCCTAGCCACCATGCCAGCTGCTGGCCCCTAAGTTTTTTTTAGGTATGAACCCACATGTTCCCTGTGTTTAGGAAGCTCAGGAAACGTGGCACTCCGGGTTTGCTGTGGCCCTGGTTCCGAAGGGGAGGGTCAGGTCTCAACTGTTAGACTATGAGGGGGCCTCACAGAAAATGGGTCTTACATACATGAGCCCTTTGGAGGTGCCTTCAGAGCTCTCGGGATGGTTACAGCCTGGCTAGAGGGCCCGGGGCCTGGCGGCTACAGGTCGGCCCGTGGGTCCGCTGGGCCCCTGCTGACCAAGGCTGCAACCTGTCTGGTCTCACCCGTGCTCTGCTGACTGGCCACACTCGGAAACGCCCTCAGTTCTTGGCAATGCACCTGTAGGTGGCTCCTTAATGCTTGGGGGCTCTTGGTTGCAGGTTTATTCCCTCTGAGTGGGCACCTCCTGGGGCTACCCACCACTGGCTCCAGGGAATGGTGGGGATGGGGTGCTCATGCTGATGGAGCCAGGCCCAGGGTCTCCCCGCTGAGCTTGTCTCCTGGGCCAGCCTGGCTAGGCTTAGCTGGGATTTCAGCAGTGAGTCACAGAAATTAAGCCATCTCCAGGGGGAGGGATTCACAGGGCCACCTTGGTAAGAATCCCTGTCTCTTAGTCTGGAAAAGTGGGATTCTAGGCCAGCCGGTGGCGTGGTTCAGGAGGCTAGAGCCCACAGGGCCAGCCATGTGGATTGTCTCACACCTGGGTTTAGAACCATGCCAGGCATGCATGCCCTCAAGCCTGAGGAGGCTGGAGGAGAAGGGATGGCAGAGTGGTCACACACACACACACACACACACACACACACACCCCGTGAGCAGTTAAAACCAAGCATGGGGCCCTCAGGTGGCACGGGGTTAGGGGCTCTGGACTCCCATATGGCCGACTGCACTTTGAGCCTCGGACCTGGCAGCTGGCTGGCTTTCTTTCTCTTTTCCTTTTCTGCTCAAACTTAAATAAACAAATAAATGCTAAATAAAATAGTTAAAACCCCCAAGCTTGGGGTCCTGAGAGGATGGAGGGCTGGTTTACAGCCCCATGGGGGCACTTTCTCGGGCTCTGGATACCCCTGTGGTGTATTATTGTGGGATCCCTCTCCCAAGAGGGATTTGCCCAGTGAGGGCCTCCCCATCCACGCCGCTGTACTCAGTCCCATTTTCTGCCACGCTTTTTAGAAAAGATTTTTGCTATAGCGCACGGGGGTCACTGGAGAGATGGAAACCATCCCCAGGGGCATGGTGATGCTAAGATCCCTTCCCTTCTCGTGCGACTCTGGGCACACATGCACAGGAGCCCAGCACCGAGTCCAAACTGCTGGGTCCAGGACTTGAACCGCCATCAGCCATCTGGGAGTCCAGTGACCTAACTGCCATGCCACCTGCTGGCCCTCTGCCACACATCTTACACATCTTCCCCCCCCTTTTTTAAATTAATTTAACTTTATTATTATTTTTAATTTAACTTTAATTTGACCAGAGAGGGATGGAGTAAGAGAGAGAAAAAGCGTAAGAAAGCAAGTCGCCAGGTCTAGGACTCAAACTGGGGCTGGCCATGTAGGAGCCCAGCGCTCTTAACCACCACGCCGCCTGTCAGCGCCCTCCCCCCATTTTTGAGAGAGATTTTTGCTCTGGGGCACGTGTGCACACCAGAGAGAGACAGAAAGGGAGAGACTCCCCCGGGGGATGGCCACACCGCAATTCTTTCTCTACTCGGTATTTGGGGCACACAGGCGCACTCCCCACAGGAGTGAAAGTCACTGGATCTGGGGATCGAACTGGGGTTGACTACATGGGAGTCCAGTGATGTAACCATTACGCCATCTGCTGGGTCCTGCCACACTTTTCTTTAAAAAAAAAAAATTATTTAGGGACCAGCCGGTGGCGTGGAAGTTAAGGTGCTGAGCACTCCCATATGACTGATAGCGGTTTGAGTACCGACCTGGACCTGGTGGCTTGCTCTCTCATTTTCCCTCCCTCCCTCTCTGTGCGTCTCTCTCTGGTCAAATTAAGATAAATAAGTAAAGTTAAATAAGACAATTCTCTTCTAAAAAGGAATTATTTATTTCATTTTATTTATTCATTCCTTTTTTTTTTTTGGAGAGGTTTTCCCTTGCGCTCACCAGACAGAGAGAGACATAGAGACAGAAAGCGAGAAATCACCCCCCAGGGGGATGGTCACGCCGCAATCCCTTCTCCTCCATTCTCCTGGCGTGAGTTTTAAGCCACCGGGTCCGGGACGAGAACCGCGGTAGACTACGTGGGAGTCCAGCAACATAGCCATTACACTAACTGCTGGTTCCCTATTCATTCATTTCTTCTAATTTGACCAGAGAGGGGCGGAGTGAGAGAGAGAATGTGAGAAAGCAGGTCATCAGGTCCAGGACGCAAACTGGTCGGACATGTGGGAGCCTAGGACCCTTAACCACCGCACCCCCTGCCACACCTAATGGCTGTTCTGGCCTCTGGCTCAAGGGCTCACTCCCCTGGGTGGGAACAGCCAGGAAGCTGAAACTCAAACCCAGCCAGGAGCAGCCCACCTCTCAGCTCCTCCCTCATCGGTACCCTGTCCCCGCCCTGGCTGTGTGGTCAGGGGGCATTTTCCTTAGAAGCAGCTGTGGGCAGAGGAGGCGCTGTGCAAGTCCTGGGGGTCTTGGCACCGAGAGAATTTTACTCGTTGGCGCCCGCGTCCTAACAGGTTCTGTGTGAAAGGGCCCGGTGTCTGCTCGTCCTTTTCCTCCAACCCTCCCATCTGTAGGGTCTTGGGCACATGTGTGGCTGTCTCCTGACCCCTCCTCCCATGCCCTGTGTAGGCTGGGGACTCGAGCCCCAGGGGACCACGGTCTCCTGGATTGTAAGATCATGTGCTCTTTGTTCTCTTAAGCTGATTTTTTTTCCTTTGAGGGTTTTGCCAGTGGGCACCTGTGCTCACCAGAGATAGAGACAGTGAGAAGGAAAGTGAGAATCCCCCCATGGCCACACTGCAATCCCTTCTTCATTCTCCTCGGAGAAGTCACCGGCTCCAGGATTGAAACTGCAGTCAGCCGTGTGGGAGTCCAGTGACGTAACCTCTACGCCATCTGCTGGCCCCCATTCGCTTCCATTTCTGTGGCTCCGAGTGGATTCCCGTCTCAGGGCCTGCCGTTCTTACACTTGTGTGCTTGGAGTCCTGGATAGTTCATCCCATCACTAGCAGTCTTCCTAGTTCAAATTCCCAGAGTAGGGGCTGCCACACCCAGGACTACCGCTCAAGTGCAGGGCTCCATAGTTTAATCAACTGCTGCAGAACTGACCAGCCCTCGGCCTGGACTGCAGGAGACCTGGCGGGTGTCCAGTCCTGGCCGTAGCTCGGAGCAGGGGGAGATCCTGGGTACAGACCACGGGTGCTGTCCCTTCAGCAGGGATTGCTGGTAGGGCTGTCGTCACAGCGTTCTAACGAGTACTATTGATACCACTCTTCTTAAACACTATTACTATTTTAAATTTTTATTTGATTATAATTAATTAATTTAAGTTTGCCATAGAGCTCATGTACTCACTAAAGAGAGAGAGAGAAAGAGGGAAAATGAGAAAGCAAGCCACCAGGTCTGGGACGTGAACTGTGGTTAGTCATGTGAGTCCACAGTCCCAACCACCATGCCATCTGCTGGGTCCCCTACCATTTGTGTTTTGTTTTTCTGTTTTTAAGAATTATTTAGAGACCAGCAGTTAGCGTAATGGCCATGTCGCTGGACGCCCACGTAGTCAACCGTGGTTTGCATCCCGGACCTGGTGGGTTAAACTCACGCCGGGCACGTGTGCGTATGTGCCCAAGATCCCGAGAGGAGACTGGAGGAGAAGGAATTGCGGCGTGGCCATCCCCCCGGGGGGTGATTTCTCGGTTTCTGTCTCTGTCTCTCTGGCGAGTGCACGTGCCCTATAGCAAAAAACCTCCAAAAAATTATTTAATTTTATTTATTATTATTTTATTTAATTTTTAATTTTATTATTATTTAATTATTTTATTAACTTTATTTATTTGATTTTGACCAGAGTGGGGCAGAGTGAAAGAGAGAGAAAGGGAAAGCGAGAAAGCAAGCCGCCAGGTCTGAGACTCGAACCACAACCACAGTCAGCCATGTGGGAGTCCAGCGCTCTTAACAACCATGCCACCTGCCGGCCACATGTTGTAATTATGCTAAACTTACTACAGGCGTGTGCACTCACCAGGGACAGACAGACAGAAAGTGAGAAGGCAAGTCGCCAGGTCCAGGACTCATGCGGAGTTGGACGTGGGAATCCAGCGCCTCAACCCCACCCCTTTGCGGCCGCCATCAGTGTTCTGATAACGCACTCGGGGCAGTGTCGGCCTTCCCATTTGGAGCCCGCTTGTCAGGAGTCATTCCTACCGCTGCCCACCAGATGGCAGTCACACCCCCAGGGGTAGCCGAGTCCCCCCACATGGCCTCGTTCCTAGAAGGCGAAGGCCCTGGGAGAGCCACCGCCCCCTGGCCTGGGGTTGTCCGGCCCACTTATGGCCGAGCTGGGGCTCTGCAGCCACGCCCTGCCCGCCCACCGCGGCACTGTCCGGCGCTGTCCGGGCCCATGCCCCGGCAGGAGGCCTGTGTTATCTGCTCCTGAGTCAGTGCTGGAAGGAGCCGGTCCCGTGCCTCGGGGGGAGGAGCGGGTGGCGCGCCCCCTGCCCCTCCCCACCGCG